GTGGCAATAATCTGCAACCGGAAAAAAGACGTTACGCAAACAGATAAATTAGTATTTCCGTCTATTAGCCCCCGTTTTCGCGTATCGATGAGTGGATTGTGGTGTTGTAGTAGGCCTGTACCAATGATTAGCATAGAAACATCTGCAACAACAAAGACCCAGTGAATGGGTTTGCGTATACCCACGTTAAGGTAAGCGTAACCTTTACCGTATGCGGCGATGGGCTTTCCGTTTGCCACCTGTAAGTTTAAAACAGATTCGTGAAGCTGGTCGTTAGGATTTGCAGGAAGAACGCTAACTTCTGCGCCACTATCGACGAAGTAGCGAACTTTCGTTATCACATCTGTGACGTATAACAGACGGCTATGATCGCCGGCTACGGTTGCTGTTAACACGTGCTGGTTTGGAAGTTTCCCGAATTTTTTTTGTGTCGGTCGATTTTGAGTTCGGAAAATTGCGGGGTTTTTTTGCAATTTCTAGATTTTCAGTACTGCTTATGATACCAGCACCAGTCGGGGTTATCCTTCTTTCGTGGTTCAGAGACAGATCGTTTACGTGAAGTGCCTCTTCGCGGGGTATGTGACCGTTTACGGACATTACGAAATCTAAGATAACGTGCCGGGTAATGACATAGTTCCTTAATGTCATTCTCTGTCGCTTAAGTCTTTTCTTTGACTGAAAAATCCCGATGTTAGACTTAGTGATTTTTAAGATTCGATCGGAAGGTGCAGCCAGCTCGTCTACGGCGTTGTTTTGAAACGAGATTAGCACTTGTTGAGGAATTTTAGATAAGAAGAATTGCCTGAATAGGCCATTATCGAACGTTCTTTGGTAAATCACCTCTCTCATTCGTAACAACATTTTTGTCGCAGAACCGTGTTGCAGGTCAATATTATTAAGGAGTTGGCCTAACCTTTATCGATTGGTTATTTTTCCGCGTTTAAGAGTTTTGTAAGGTTCCGCCTGGAGTCCCTCCGGGGGCTACTGCCGGTCCCAAACCCGGATAAAGGAGGAGGGTTGGGCATGGGGTTAGCGTCCCCATCCCGTAGAAAACTAACTCGCTAAATAAACGCTAACCAGAAAAAAATTATTCAAACCTTTTAAACTCTGCCCTGGGAGTCAGAAGATCTTCATTTAGAAGAATTATGACGCTTCATGATGAAAGCCGAATTCCTTCGGAACTTACGAGGCCGATGCCCCTTCTGACAACCAGAGCGACCATTTATTTAGGTACATGGAATGTTCGTACAATGTGGGACACCGGAAGAGCCTTCCAGATTGCTGCAGAAATGAGAAGATACAACCTAGAGGTACTTGGGATCAGTGAAACACACTGAACACAAGTTGGATAGCTCCTGTTATACTCCGGCCATGAAGAAGAAAATGCACCGCATACACAAGGAGTTGCATTGATGCTGTCCAAACAAGCACAAAATGCACTTATAGGATGAGAATCTCATGGACCAAGGATCATCAAAGCCTCGTTTAAAACAAAGAAAGAGGGTATTTCAATGAACATCATCCAATGCTATGCGCCTACCAACGACTACAATGAAGACGTTAAAGATCAATTCTACAATAGGCTGCAGTCAATAGTCGAGAAGTGCCCAACAAAGGACCTGACCATTCTGATGGGAGATTTCAAGAAAGAAGGAACAAGAAGGCAGCAATCAATATCAGCCGAACAAGAGCAGAAAAAGCCAAGGCACAAGCTGAATACACGGAAATAAACAAACAAGTGAAGAGGAGCATCAGAACCGACAAACGTAAATATGTGGAAGATTTAGCAATGACGGCGGAAAAGGCTGAAAGTGAAGGAAACATGAGATAACTGTACGACATAACAAAGAAACTCTCTGAAAATCACCGTAAACCAGAACGACCAGTGAAAAGCAAGGAAGGTAAGGTAATCACTGACATTGAAGAGCAACAAAACAGGTGGGTAGAACACTTCAAAGAACTCTTGAATCGACCAGCTCCACTGAACCCACCCAACATCGAAGCAGCACCCACGGACCTCCCAATCAATGTTGGCCCACCAACAATTGAAGAAATCAGCATGGCCATCAGACAAATCAAGAGTGGCAAAGCAGCAGGACCGGACAACATCCCAGCAGAGGCATTGAAAGCAGACGTAGCGGCAACTGCAAGGATACTCCACATTCTCTTCAATAAGATTTGGGATGGGGAACAGGTACCAACAGACTGGGAAGAAGGACTCCTGATCAAAATACCGAAGAAAGGCGATCTCAGCAAGTGTGATAACTACAGGGGCATCACTCTTCTCTCAATACCGGGAAAAGTCTTCAACAAGGTATTGTTAAACAAGATGAAGGACTGCGTAGACGCCCAACTTCGTGACCAACAGGCAGGCTTCCGTAAGGATAGATCGTGTACTGACCAAATCGCATCTCCACGGATCATTGTGGAACAATCAATTGAATGGAATTCATCACTCTACATCAACTTCATTGACTACGAAAAGGCATTTGATAGCGTGGACAGAACAACACTATGGAAAGTTCTTCGACACTACGGCGTGCCTCAGAAGATAGTCAATATCATACAGAACTCATATGATGGATTACACTGCAAAATTGTGCATGGAGGACAGTTGACAAAGTCGTTCAAAGTGAAGACCGGTGTTAGGCAAGGTTGCTTACTCTCACCCTTTCTCTTTCTCCTGGTGATCGACTGGATCATGAAGACGTCAACGTCCGAAGGAAAGCGCGGGATACAATGGACATCTAAGATGCAGTTGGATGATCTAGACTTCGCAGATGATCTGGCCCTTCTATCCCGAACGCAACAACAGATGCAGGAAAAGACGAACAGTTAGGCAGCAGCCTCAGAAGCAGTAGGTCTCAATATACACAAAGGGAAAAGCAGGATTCTCCGATACAACACAGAATGCACCAATCCAATCACAATTGACGGAGGAGATTTGGAAGATGTAAAAACCTTTACGTATTTGGGCAGCACCATTGGTGAACAGGGTGGATCTGATGCAGATGTGAAGGCGCGGATCGGCAAAGCAAAAGCAGCATATTTACAACTGAAGAACATCTGGGGCTCAAAGCAACTGTCAACCAACACCAAGGTCAGGATTTTTAATACAAATGTCAAGACGGTTCTACTATATGGGGCAGAAACCTGGAGAACTACGAAAACCGTCATCCAGAAAATACGGGTGTTTATTAACAATTGTCTACGCAAAATACTTCAGATCCATTGGCCGGACACTATTAGCAACAACGTACTGTGGGAGAGAACAAACCAGATCCCAGTGGAGGAAGAAGCGCTGGAAGTGGATAGGACACACATTGAGGAAAGCACCCAACTGCGTCACAAGACAAGCTCTCACATGGAATCCCCAAGGTCAAAGGAAAAGAGGAAGACCAAAGAACATATTACGCCGGGAAATGGAGATAGACATGAGAAAAATGAACAAGAATTGGATGGAACAAGAAAAGAAGGCCCAGGATAGAGTGGGTTGGAGAATGCTGGTCAGCGGCCTATCCTCCATTGGGAGTAACAGGCGTAAGTAAGTAAGTAAGGTTCCGAAACATCACCAGTAAACATACTAGGTGTTACTTGGCTCTCGGTAGTGCCTTGACTACTGTGAGGAATTGTGCACGTGTGTCGTTCACGTCGTGCTCGTAGGAGTCGGCTTACGCAAGGCAGAACCAGACCTCGAGGTTGTCTGGCCAGAAGGACATTAGTTGAAACGAAGGTGGGGACATAGTCTTTAGCTTAAGTACCTTGGGTGTCTGTTCCGTCATGGTAAAATATCAAGTACGAGAATGAACAAGTAAAATATATACGTATATAAATATCCAGAAACGCGCAAAATATATCACAATATCTAAAAATTAAAACGAAGCAATGATACATAAAATCCCAGAAAAGATCAGACTCACTGTTTGCAATTTGGTGTATCAGATAACACCGGACTTACTGATGAAGATGCCACAGGTATTTGGAGTTCGACAACGCTTTAACCAGTAACACCTTTTAATATGAAGCGTACCCACCAAGTGAAATCAAAAGACAGAAGCGAGGTGGTTTGAAGATAGATTTGATAGGCTATCAATATATCGAGGGTCTACTAATCTAATCTGGCTAGCGATTGCAGGGGATGTTGAGCACGGCGTTCTCACCCGTGATCTGGTGCGTTTGCATGACTGACCGCCTTCAGCTAGGTCAGTCCATTAAAATGAATGTGATCAGCATCGAATGTCGAAGACTTATAGGGCTATTGATTTTGGGGATTTATTTACCTCTACATACTTAACATACAAATACCCAAAAACTATAACGCAACACAGTAAAGTGAACTAAAGGCACACTCCCCAATCGTTGCGCGTAGCCAAATCTTGGGCCTCTCTATCGGTGGATGTAGTTTAAAAAGCAAACCTTAAAACACTAAAGAGATTTGATGGATCCTAGGTGCTCGTAAAACTGTTTCATACTAATTTGCCAGTATCTTCGTCCGTTCCATATATCTAGACCCCTACATGGAGGAGTCGGTGATCTATTACTACCAGACATGACAGCTTGTCAAGTGAGAGCTTCTGTTCCATCGACAACCATCCGATCAAAGTTTAGGGTTTGAACTTCACTCCACAGACTACGATACCCCATTCCTCTTCAGCTATCTCATAAGAAGATTGAAGGATTCAGAAAAATTTAAATTCATAGAACTAAGCAAAATGTTTTAGCTTTATACCATAATGAATTGACAATGACGAGGATTGTACATTGAGAGGACTGTTAAGGTCTGGCACCTTCACGACCTTGGCGGTAAAACAATCTACTATTTTCGACTGAAATGTGGGTGTTGTTTGGGATGTATGACAGTGAATGTAGCGTTCTTCCAGTACAAATACACGTGTAAGATGAACCTAATTTCCGCATGAACTTAATACGTCCTGGCATTCGAAACTAGAAGTTGATAAAGTAAAGTTTCAATCGTTATTTCAAACCTAAGACCTTTCCAGCCAACAATAGGAAACTAATCGTTACTTGGGATTTCTGTTTGAGTTTTCCAGGGTATGTCGTAAATACGAAAGGATACAGTTCTATGATTACAGAAGATGCTTATGAGTAAAGTGATATTTATCTGGACAAGCTGTTGCGCGTTTCTGTTCTTGTTGATTTTAAAACTTGATGAAATCGTTTCTTGGAATTGGTTCATCATATTCATACCAATGTGGTCTTTTGATTTTATGTTATTCATTACCTCAATACTATATATGTCACGAAAGTATGTTCTTAAAACTCAACTGGTCGATTATTATGCATTAAACTGATGAATTTTCAGATTTACCCATATAATTGGTCAACATAACGTTGAAGGTAGATTTAATCAGACTCTGACATTGAGTTTTATCTTGTGGAAGTCAATTGCACAGATTATTCTCTGCCTATCCCTGGAAGGCTATTTAACGACTTTGTTAGACAGCTTTTCTCAGTCGAACGTTATTAACCAGAATACAACTAGCAATCAAACCGGTAATTCAACCGCCGTTAAAACCCGTCTGGTTTATGCAATATTTCCTATATGGACTACAATGGTTGTATGTTTATTAATAGTTTGCACTCAAATCGTAAATCCACGTTTAACTGGAATTTGGTCATTTTGTTCAAATAATCAACCATTTGATGGCCATCGTGAAAGAGGAAAACAACAAAAGACCAACGTTTTAAGGGGTTTTGTAACGAATTGAAAAGTTGTCTGTTGATAATGTTATGTATTTGTCACTGTTTATATGTGTACTATTCCTTTGTGAATAAAAGTGAGATTTGTTTAAAATTGTTTTAATCTACAAATCAGAATTTGTTAAAAGAAAATGGTTTACATAGGGGGTCATTTATGATACTTGTCCGATTTTATCCAACTTCCTGTCCTTATTAAGTTGTTTTTGAGCAGAGTGAAGATGATCAATTTGGTTAAAACAAGAAAGTTTCCTGTTCTAATTAGATCTACGGATGAATTGACGTATTGATGCCGTCGGTATTTTGGAACCATATAATTCTCGTACGTTTCTTAATGATCAATATATACCTTCAAATTTACTATTGACAGTAGATCGTGTAGACTACATAAATCTTATCTGAAGGAAAGTAGGTCGACAGGGATTTCATTGATTTGTTCGCCAAAGGTTCAACAAGTAAAATAATTTATTTGGAGCATCTAAGAAGTCTATTATTTATGTTGAAGGATCTCAGCTATATTGAGATTTTAATAATGAGACGTTTAGAAATTAACGTGTCTAGAGCCTTTATGTTGAATAATATTGATAAAGGAAATAGTACAATTGATTTTATCAATGCTTAAACGATAAATGCACATCGTTCACCTCCTACTTGGACACACTGTACCAAGCACTATGCGTCATCTAGCAAACAAGAGGAATGCGTCAGCGATTGTATACGGCTTACGACCCATAAAACATCCAGAAGTGTTCTAGAACACCTCTCTGAAAACAAATAACTGAATAAAGCCAGTAAAAACATTGGCGCAGAATAATATGAATTCATTATATTTCTCGGTTTCTCATCATCTTACGACCATGTGTATTGAAAGTTAACGTTGAAATAAGATATAATGTGACACAATCGACGAAAAAGAATTAAAAGGAAAAGAATTAAGGCGACAAAGGTCACCGATATGTATATGGAGTTGGAATTCATAGACATAAGGGGCGGGTGATGCATTAATTAAACGAGGTCTGGATATAGATTGTGTGGTAATTTTAGAGGTTATGAAGGGTTTACATAAGATTACTGGAAGTAAAATAAGTTCCAAATGATTCTGTTTTTTGCCTGTTGCGTGTATATTTTGGTATTTCGACCAAGTGTACTATTACCGGTGACTAGGGCAATATTACTCTAGTTTGTCTTGCTGGTGAGAAAGTAGCTAGATTCTGGCGTTAATGTTTGGATATCCGACCTATTATGTATATCAGTGACCACATGTCCACTTTTGTCACTATATATTTCAGTTTTGAGATTTTGACAATAGAATCACTGTAGGATATCTGGGTGAAATAAAGCTTGATCTAAGACGTAGTCAGAAAGAATGCAGCAAGAACTGATAGTGGACAAAGCATCCTTTCGTGAGTTTTAGTAATTCGTTTTCGGACGGATCCGCTGTTCGATGGTTAATATGTATGTGTGGTCAAATTGGCCGGTTGACAAAAAATCTCTTTTCTATATCAACTATTGGAATCTGGATTGTTCAAATATCACTTACTGGATATCTGTGAACATCTGGTTCGTTGGAGACGGGTGGAGTGCTGGTGTCTGAAAGTTGTTTTGGACGAAGCATCCATTCAAATAAAATCCTATCATAGTGAATGAGAAGTCAAGTGGGGATAACCAGTTTATTATTTCGTGCTAAACCACATAGTAGCTTAGTAAAATATGAAAATCGTATATTGAATACATCATTTCCTCATCTTTGCATCACCCTTTACGAACTTCACTATTCCTCTAATTCTGTTGTTGTTTAGATTGCTCATTCATTTTCTTCCTGTTCTCTTCACTTCAGTCTTCTACTGCAGGCATTCTACCACTTATATCTGCCAGCATAGGTAGCATACAACACACTATATCAGAAACTAAATAACACCGTTAGTGGCTCAATACGAATGCTTTCTATATCTGTGACTCAACTGGTAAATTTACTGACCGTCATAGACACCGAATCCGACTAACAATAAATATTTCCCTTCTGTTATATGAATACTTCGCTGATATTCCTCATGAGATACGTAGATTAAGGCGAAGTATATCATTTAAAATTGTAGCATCTGAATTTAGGGTAAAATAATGTTGGGATCACTAACATAAAGTGTTAACATTAGTCATTTTATAAAAGCAATGAAATTGTGAGATAAATGATCAGAATAAATATGGTCAATATGGGGCGAGAGAGAGAATACTGTAATTGCAAATCAGAAATCAAGTAATATGTAGGATTGGGTATGAATTAGTAAATAGGGGTAGATGCTGAATAAATTCCTCAAAAACGTTAGGGGTTCTTATGATAATGATGACAGTAATGATAATAATAATAATAGTGATAGTATTTATGGTATGATGTATGAATAAGATAGATTTAAGCTATGCGAATTAGCATTAATCGAATACTGCACAATATCACAATGATTATTACATAATTAGGCCATAAGTTGGGTAAGGGAAAAGGAGCGACTAAATATATTTCCTCAAATCATGTTCAAATACTGTTGATATAGTTTATAAAATACAATTAAAATTCGGTGGGAAAGTTATATCTTCAAAAGAACGAAATGATTTTACAGTGGTTTTATAGTTGTCTGAATGATTATGATTGCAATATCCCAGTATCATACTTCTTGATGATTGGTAGAGATTACATTTCAAATTGAAAAATGTCAGCATCTGTTTTATTGTGATTGAATTCATGTTCAAGTTTTGGTAGTCTGAAATGAATGACAGAATTGAAGCATAAAGGTTCTGTTTCTGAGAATACTGTTTTGTATATGTTGAAATTTCATCAATGTGGTTCCATATTAGTTCGGTTGGTTGGTGTTTGCAGTTCCTAGGAGTCAGTGATAAATAAGTCAAGAATGTTGTAGTCTGCCATCATTATGTTTGGACGATCCAAATATTGAGAGGTAGTCTATTTATGGTGGTCAGGCTGATGACAGGAACATGTATGCGATTACCCACCATGTTTTCATTTCCACACAACAAACAGAACTTCAGACTACACTTTATGTGAACACAGAGCAAACGACCAAGACTAAACATTTACTCATCATAAAGGCACTCGCATTCGACTTTGATTAGATTTCAATAGTTTCTGCCCAATCAGACACAAAGAGCTTTGTTTAGAAAACTATAAGATTGTGTAATAAAACTGTGTTCATCAAGAAAGATCGAAGACGTATTAAGTATGGTTAAAAGTGTTTGTGAGATAATGGTTACGGAACAAACTGATTAATTAGAATGGGAGAAAAGAAAGAAGGGAATGGAATACTCCAACGTAAACAATAAATGGCTTAGTACGACTCAGCTCTGAAGTTGATTGAGTTCCTAGCATGATTGAGTCCAAAATGTTCAGTGTTGAAGAGAACGCATCCAGCCTAAATTCAAGTCTTGTTAAATCAAACCAAATGTTAACGAATTACTAGTAGGAATAATGATAATAATAATGATATTTGATAGAAGTCTTGTTAACTCTTTCATTGTCCTGTCACTTCTGGTTTATATTCAGCTGTTGTTGTTATTGTTGTTGTTAGAAGGGAACTACTATGACATTAATTTCATCTGTTCATTACTACATCATGTGATGACTTCAGTCGAACTACATGGTGGTACTACGTTAGTCAGTCGTTTTTCATTAAGTTCATAGTCTGTGCATTTCAAGTATGAAAAACGTTCTGTTAACCGTTTCATGGTTAGCATTTTATAGCGAGTTAGTTTTCGACAGGTGAGATCGCTAATCACATGCCCAACCCTCCTCCTTCATCCGTGTTTCAGACGGGTAGTAGTAGTAGTAAAAGTCTCAGAGAGGATCCTGTTGGAGCCCCTATGCAGGTTTATTTCTATTAGATATAAGTAGAATTCTATTAGTGAATTGATGATTGTATTCTGTTGAAACTATTCTGGCGTATATTTCAACATACTACTAACTTCTTTAAGTAGTAAGAAATGCGAAATATGAATGAATGAATTGTCAACAGTTGTTTCAATATTATACAACACAATTCAAAGTTCATTTATTCATACAATTTGATTATTATAAAGTGACTGTATTTGAAATTATTATTATTATTATTACTATTAATACTACGGATTAGACAAAGTTCAATGCAGATTATCCAAGGTTTATGCATAGACACACATTGTATTCTTACTATTCAATGAAGTGAACATGAATATGAATCGGAAAATATCAATTGAACACATTCATAATCAACACTTACATAGAGATTGTTGACAAAACATTATGAATACCGTATTTTGGCAGGTGGATTCCTCATAACCAAATCATTGATTATATTGAAGTAAAAGAATAAACAGGTTTGTAGAGTGTATTACAATTTGTGGATTATACCACCATCTCATTATCAAATTTTCCAGTTAATCAACTAGTGAAAGAATATCACCTGCTTTACATCCAACATGATGCCAACTGAGGTAATACGATATACAGTAATTAATACAATCATTGTAGTTTCTATTCATTTTCACTGGTTGTTTAACCAAAGTCTGTTGGCGATCCACTCATGATGGTGATATCATTTAGTGTATTTATATGAAATCTTTGCAGTTATAAATGTATTTATTATAATTATTATTATGATTAATTATTTGCTATATCAGATGGAATATTCAGTTGGCTTGTTAAATTGTATACGGTAATTCATAAGAGTTTTCATCACGGGTAGATATCGTTGAGAGACCTATTGAAAATTGTGCTGCACTAAACCGTTGTTTCTTTATAGTTCGGAACTACACAGAAGTGAGAATCCATCGCTTCCCAATAAATTGAACATAGGCGCTACAGTTCTTGCAATGGAAATGGTGTCAACAACCCCTGAGTTGGAACTCCACGAAATCACGTAAATCACAATTTCCAACTCTAGTCACTTGATAATATAGCATGAGTAACCATCAACCGATTTCGAGATGGTGGTGAACATTTGTTGCTCAGGTGGATGATTATGATGGAGTATTGTTCTCTGAGCTGGATGGTTTTGTTGTGGAGCCATCATCGTTATTCTGAGCAACATCGTCAGCAC